CCTTGTAAAGTTTGGACCGGAACTAGGTTACACTGTGCTAATATGTATTAATGTAACATATTTCATGGCCTGGGATCCATATGATGTCCTCCCCATTAATTCTCTGACCCTGGCATGGGGTTATGATTGTGTGCACATACAGTAACCCGGGGTGAAGTTGGAAAGCGTTGGGTTCTGGAAATCTCCCCAAACGTAGGTCCAGTGCTCCGGGGTACTTGTACCGTCCTGGAGGAACCGTTCCATCTTCGCTGGCCTCCAAATTAATCCAAAAATAGATTATGTTTAATTTCAGCTGTGATATCTATGCTAGGAAAAATTAAGAAAAAAATACTTGGAAGTTCAGTTATCTCTCAATAGATGGAGAAAGAAATAACAAGGAAAAATACTTGGAAGTTCAGTTATCTCTCAATAGATGGAGAAAAAATTAAGACAAAATACTTGGAAGTTCATTTATCTTTCAATAGATGGAGCAAAAATTAAGAAAAAATACTTGGAAGTTAAATTATCTCTCAATAGATGGAGAAAAATTAAGAAAAAATACTTGGAAGTTTAATTATCTCTCAATAGACGGAGAAAAAATTAAGAAAAAAATACTTAGAAGTTCAGTTATCTCTCAATAGATGGAGAAAAAATTAAAAAATACTTGCAAGTTCAGTTATCTCTCAATTAGTGTATCATCTCAGGCCATAGATGCGTTATAAGAGTGACAATCGATTCCCACTATTCGATTAGAGTAGCCCAAGAGTTGCAAGGGTATGGGCTGTTTGACTAGCTATCTTCCCTCTAGTGTATCAGCTCAACATTATGGAGAACTAGCGTAGACGCGTTTTGTTTAGCTTGCGCTTATGTTCGAAACAAACGAACGAAAAAAAAAAGACTCTAATCGAAATTTAATTCTGTTAGGAACTAGTACATTTAACTTTCAATGGTTGAGCAAACTTTCAAAAAGGACCCACAATTTTTTCCGGGATCCATAATTTAAAATCTACCAATCACAATAAACATCATGTGTAAGTAAAATATCAATATATGAAGACACACTAGTTATAAAAATAAACATCTTTCTTACAGCCTGTAATGGAATTATGGGTAAAAGCTCATTAAATAAAACTTTTCAAGACTGTTCTACAAATGATACCACGCATACACATCACATATTATTGATGTCTTAGTTTAATAACACCAGTTTGTTAATCATCAAATGAACACATTATATAGTGGTCTTCCTTCTTTCAAATCTTCAGTGGGGCCGAGCCTGGAGCTGTATGTGTATGCGTGGTATCATATATCAAAACTGGTGTTATTAAACTGAGACATCAATAATATGTATACAGATCGTTCACTTGCAAAGATACTTCGGGTGATTGATACATTAAATTTTTAATTTAATTAATTCTTTATTTATTTACTTATTTTTAGCGAAATTGGTTTGTCAGATATCATTGTTGTGAAGTGAAAAGTCCCAAACTGTCGTAGTTAACAAAAACAATTATGTGCTGCCATCTGGTGACGGTAAGCGAAACTATTATGAAATGTAGAAGTAATTCTCCTGAATAGTGGTTTTCCTTTTTTGTTATTTTCTCACAAAATCGCGAGTAATAGGAAAAAATAATAACATTGCTCTTATATACAAATTGGGCGGGCAATTTTTTCACATCTTGCCTATCTGTCAGGCAAAGTAATTTTC